AAAGGGATTGCCCGGACCTCAAACGGGCAATAGATGAGGGACTTGTCGTGCTTGACGACCGCAAGTACGTCAAGTGGGCAGATGATCTAGGAGATATATCGATGTTCCCTTCGATAAAGGAGAATGTCGAAGCAAGGAGAATAAAGACAAGTAAAGGAATGGAGCCGGTCAGGAGCCAGAGCATCAAGATAATCTTTGAGGGGGATATCGCGACCACACCCATAAGGGTGACCCATAAGGGTGGCAGCCACCAAGTCGGCAAGAGGGTCTACATCGAAGAAGACTGACACGGATTACGTGATGACGGAGAAGGACGGGCAGCGGGTCGATGGAGAGGAGGTTATCCTTTCGCCGCAAAAGAGGGGAGTGAAGAAGTTCTTAATGAAGAGTTCGTTGGACGAGATTGACACGGTTGAGCCACTGAGGCGGGCCCTTCGGCAACCAATGGAGTGCTCTATTCTGGAGTACCTGGCGGCATCGAAGCCGGCTCATGATGAATTACAGATGATCACGCGGAAGACTCGCATACCTCTATCAGAGGAGAGTCAGGGGGCCCCTAAAGTGGAAGCTTCTACATTAGCAGTAACGGGGGGGACTGCCAGAGCGGATCGCATGGCGACAGTCGTTCTCGATGGGATGGAAGGTGTGCCTCTAGACAAGTTTTATATACTTGGTAGCGGGGTCGTGGAGACGATTATAAACGATGGAGCGATACTCGATGCTGTGATCGATAATGGTAGTGAGGCTGTCATCATAGACGAGGACCTGGCAGTACAAGTTGGACTGGGCCTCGATAGGTCATACCTATTCGAGATGGAGACGGCTGATGGGAGAAAGCAACAGATCACTGGGGTTTGTCACAAGGCAGCCATAGAGGTCTAAGGGGTAAGAGTGATCCTGTCTGTCTTCGCAGTCAAGAACTGTAGCTCCGACCTGCTCTTGGGTCGAACGTGGCTGAGCCACGTGCATGAGGTGACGATAGAGCGACCTAATGGGAGCCAAACATTGTCCATTAGGAAACCAGACGGGGAGCGGGTAACGATTGAGACAGTGGAGCCCCGGGACCCGAGGAACAGAGCATCTCTCGCTGTGGGTGCGAGACCCAGTGATCAGATTAAGTCGTTACCTATCTCCGGCCGCGTGGTGCAATTTCGCGAGAAGAGATATGAACCACTGCTCACAGAGGAAGAAGGTCGGATCGTGGAGGTGGAAGATTTAGTGAGTCGGCAAATAGTGGACGGCAACTCGTACCCAAAGGAAAAAGATGAGGAATTTGGCGGTGTGGTATCCGTGTCTTTTTTAAGGGCACGACCCCCTATGGGGGGCTGCCCAAGCGACGCAAGCGAGTAGCTCAAAAAGTTAAGCCAGCGACGGTGGGCCGCGAGCGATCTGCACTGGAAGGAATATCAGAAGAAGAGATCGCGAAAGAAATCAAAGAAAGAAAGAGAAAGGAGCCACAACGCCTAACGGAAGAGAGAATAGCAGGGATGGACATCGGAGATGG